AGAACTAGTACATACTTCCCTAAAACAGCCTGGCAGCATGCCTAGTCTTGGCATGCTAAATTTCAGGGGTGAATGTAGTACATTATCCACATACAGTCAGGCCCTTCTGCTAAATGTGCCAGCAGGGTGCCAAATGTGAGAATGCGGACATAAACAAGAGAAGCAGAATAAGACTAGAAACTAATTTCACAATTAATTACTGAATGGTATTACTCAGATAACTTTGGAACACTACTAACCTGAGCCAAATATAAACCAGTGACTTGGAGGTGAAAAGCTACATATACTTTTTAGCAGTTGCCTGAGACATACAGTCCCCATCTGCTAATAATAGACATCAGTATCTATTTTGTCGTGCAAATATTTGTTCAAATGTTTAGTCTGTTGTTTAGTGTCTGTTGTTTTTAGTGTCTGTTGTTTTTATTGTTGTCATTAGCTTTCATTTTCTATTTAGGGATTCCTTAAATCCTATCTTGGAGCCCCAAGGATCATTGTGCTTCCATTCATCTGCCTTCACTTGTCCGTTTCTCCACATGCCTTCACCAGCTCCCTCTGCTAGAATGCTACTACTAGAATCACCGGGTGAGACACTAGAAAACAATGTCAGGCATGCCTTCTGTCCTACCCCATTGAATCCAATACAATGGAACTGAAAGGGGTATAAATTGGGGCAGAATTTGTCTCACTTAATATTATTTATATTACCGTAGTTCCTAGAGGTCCCAATCAGAAATTAGGGTTGCACTGTGACCAGCATTGTACAAACAAACGGCAATTCCACATCACCTGTAACACGGCCAGGAATGGAACTGAGCTTCTTGGACATATATGTGGGGTTCCAAATCTCCAGTCTCTTACTGATAGGTAGGCTCCCTTTGTCTGGTGATTTTAAGAGGAATTCATGAACTTTAAAATCTGATACTGATGATCTTTTTTGGACTAGGGATATTGAATTCTAGTTTATCAAAGTAGACAGAAGACGACTTGATGGTTGATAGCTAGATAGATAGCTAAAAGATCCAGATGCAGAGCTATACTAAAGGTTTGACAGTCCCTAGAAACGGATTTGTGATCTCGGTCCTCTTCGTTTTGAAAACGAGACACGTAAAAATGACATGCATTTTAGAAAACTTTGTAGTATATTATTATCTAATATAAAAATCAGTTAATGAAATGCAACTAAATGAAAATAGCTCAGGATATTAAGTAGAAACAAAATATATGTTCTCTTTATGACACTAATCAATGGTATCTGTGAAGAAACAATAATAGTACAGCATTATTAGCATTAGGAATATTTTGTAACATTTTATGGACCAATCCTGCAGTTATATCTGTATAGACTGACTCCTCTGTCAGCTCAGCCCTCTTCTTCCTACCCAAATCTTTTTCATCTTGGAAAAAGTCCCATTTCTAGGAGGCTTGTGATAAGGCCACATGGTATGGACCTTTGACTGATTAGCAGTTATATAGCAAGGTCCCTTTATGCTGCCACAGAAGCAAGAAAAATTAAAAAGTAAATCACAGTTAATGTATTGCGTTAAATAACACAATGTGGCTTCCCAGCTGCCCTCATAAGTCACCAGAAAACTTTTTTAAAAAAGCAAAGAAACCTTCCACTTTTTGAACCGTTTCCCTTTCAACAGTATTGTGCAATTATGCCTCTTCAGAGGCAGTTAATTTGTAAGCAGAATATCAATAATTTATAAGCATATTAAGGGTATTGATCAACAAGAAGAGAAACATGCTTGATTTCTTTCTTCAATCCATAAAAAAACCCTTTACTCTTCAAATATAAGGCAAGCAGAGTATGGTTTAAATACATATTTAGCAATTGTTTTCCTATTTAAAGTGCAATCATTCATCACGGAACTAGCGGTAACTTAAAAGAGCTTTGTTGGGATTGAAATACAAGCATCTAAAATAAATGACTCTTCTTCCTACTCTTGGTTTCACACCTTCTATCATGCTATCCCCCAAGCTTTGGAAGAGCCTCCCACATCCGTGCATCAAATGCTCACTTTCTCTTCCTCCAAATGCCTCTGAGAAACCCATTTCTTTGGAGAAGCTTTTGAAGTTGATTCCAGTAACTATGAGCTTCACCCAGTAATAAACGATGTGGATCCCTACTGAAGGCAATGAATTCCATGCATATGTGGAGCTCATTACTGTATTAGGGCCTTGATCTCCACACCTGCTCATGCCCAACCATTCCCCCGTTAGAGATAGACTCTGACCTTCAAAGACTTACAGGTGTGTTTAATTGTAGACATTGTGAGTAGTGCTATTGAAGTTAATGAGGATCGTAGTGAGTGCAGGGGTCTACCTATGTAGAGCTCACTGCATTATTCGGGCATTATTCTCTTCACCTACCTGAACTGTTCCCCCATGTTGTCAGAGTTGTCTGACTAAGGCCTTGATCCTCTGCGTCCTCAGTGCAGGATCTGGCCTTTAGGTTGTAGGATCTTTGAGGTAGGTGGGGACATTGGCTTTTTTGAAGATGTACACAATGTAATTTACATTCCTCTCTTTCTGTGTCAGAGACAGGCTCAAGAATTATATAAATCAGGGAAAATAAATGATTGGTGAATAATTTTATTAATCAGATTCCTTCTGGAACACTGATCGCATTATTTGTTTGCCAGGCAAGCTTCTGCTAAATCTAGTCACAATTAAAAAACTAAAGCAAAAACAAAAAACAAGCAAATAGCATTGAACTGAGCCATAATTAGGGCAGCTGAGAAAGCCTTGTATAATTAGCTGGGCTTTGTTTATAATTATTCCTGATAGTTGGAATTGGTTTCCACATGTAATGGGGCAATAGCCGTGGTAAAGCTAAGAACCTTTGATTTCCAGTTTAATAATGAATGGTCCAGTCTTGCCATGTTTACTTGTGTAAGTAAGAAATACTTGTGTTAACAGAGCCATTGAAGACAATAGGAATTACTCATGTCAACTAGTGTTACTCACAGATGAAGGCCTTCCAGAATCAGGTCTATTAGTGTAGAAATAAATGTTTAACACAGGCCATAAACACTTCCCCCCACATAATTCCGAGAGCATGTAATTTAGAAAACATACAATCTTGATTTTAAAATTGTCAGTCAGTGATGGAAAATTCATCCTTTGTAAATTGTTCCAATGGTTAATTTCCATCACTTTTGAAAAATTATGGTTTGTCTAGTCTGGATTTGTCTAGCTTCAACTTTCAGCCATTGGATCATATCATCCTCATTATTAAATATTTGTTCCCCATGTAGATACTTATAAACTGTAATCAAGTCACCCCTTAACCTTCTCTTTAAATTAAATAGATTGAGCTCTTTAATTCTATCACTATACGGAATAATTTTTAATCCTTTAATCATTCTCAAGGCTCTTCTCTGAACCCTCTCCAATTGATCAACATCCTTTTTGAATTGTGAGCACAAGAATTGGACACTGTATTCCAGCAGCATTCATACCAACGCCAAATATAAAGGAACAATAACCATTCTACTCCTACTTGAGATTCCCCTGTTTATACATCTCAGGATTGCATTAGCTCTTTTGGTCACAGCATCACATTGGAAGCTCATATTCAGCTGATTATGCACCATGACCCCCAAATGGTTTTCAGAATCACTGCTTCCCAGAGCAGAGTCCCCAACCTGTAAGTAAAGCCTACATTCTTTTTTCCTAGATGTATACATTTATATTTAGCTGTATTAAAACACGTATTGGTTGCTTGTACCCAGTTTACCAAGTGATCCAGATCACTCTGAATTGGTGACCTGTCCTCTTCATTATTTATCACTGCCCCAATTTTTGTGTCGTCTTCAAATTTTATCAAAAATTTGTTTTGTTTTCTTCCAGGTTGCTGATAAAAATGTTAAATAGTGTAGGGCCAAGAACCTAGCTCTGTAGGACCTCACTGGAAACACCTAGCTCTGTAGGACCTCACTGGAAACACAGATTTCTGCAAACAGGAAGTGAATCATACAAAGTGGAGACTTGCGCTAAGGGTTTGCCCATACACATCTTGCTTATTTATTTTTTTATTTTAAAAACGTCTATAGGCAAGAGAATATTGCTGCTTGTGGAAGTATTGTGACAAATTATGATTACAAAAATATCATGTGGCCACCAGTTTACATGGCACTGCCATATGGCTTTTCTGTGAAAGAAACTGGAAAAGACTGGGAAGGTAATGCTGCAAATATGAGAGAGAGCAATTGATTTTTGTTTTCAGAGTATCACCACTTCCCACTCCTCCCAGTTTAATTCCTGTTTAGGGGAGTACTTTAGAAAGCAGTGTGTGAGAAGGATACCTACACATGATATTACCTTCTGCGTCATGTATCCCAAATCCTTCATACATATGTGGCAATAAACTCCAGAATATGGTTTCTTTGGAAAGAGGCATTTGCTAGATCGTTGATTCTAATTTCAAGAGAACTAATATCTGCTCTAATCTAGGAAAATAATAACTGTTACAACTTGAGGTTGTTTGGAATTCATTATGAAGCTGTGTGAAAGAGCATGTGGGTTAAACAGGTTCAGTGCTAATTAATACCTAGACTTCTAAGGAAGTAGCTTCTTGCTCCTGGGGTTAGGCAGTGTGTGAGAAGAACAATAACCAGGGAGTTGTCTGCAGGCTGTTTCAGGAATGAAGCAGAGAAGAAGTTCATATAAACTTTAGGAAACAAAGCTTCAATCCTGTTCTGTTTCAAGTCAATGGGCATTTTGCCAATGACTTCAATGGAAGCAGGATGAAGTGTACACTCTCATTCCCACTGGTACCAAGTCAGTGGGATTACAGCAATATCATTAAGAACATAATTTGGCCCTAGATCTTCAAAGTTTAGGAAAAGTTGCCATACAGTGTTTTCTGTCTGAGAGGTCTTCAGCGTGAGTTGTTCTTTCCTGAGAGAACCTGCATTATCTCATTTTGCATTCAGGCTAGAAATCACAGAATGAAAGCTACAAGAATTTCTTGACTAACCTCTCTGTCCGTCTCTCTCTCTCTGGGAATGATTTCTCTTCATCAGCTCAGTTGCAAAGACTTTTGTTCATTTGGGTCATTGTAGCTGGTCGCTCCGGTGTCTGTTGGTGAAGTCTAGATTTACATGAAGCACAAAGTTTTAACAATATTTGGAAAATGAGTTCCCAGGATCACTTTTCTCCAACATTTGATGTGGAAGGCAGTGATCACTGATGCCCTAATAATCAGTCTCATTTTCATAATATTCAAGAATCAACTGAACAATCATCTTTGCTCATTTTATTACCATTAAAGAATTTCTAATAATTTTAATCATTGCTGAATTACTTGCAGCTTTCTTTAAAGTTTAGTCAATAAGAAGATTAAAATATAAATGCCATTAAATGTGCTTTAAATATCAGTCCCATTGAAATACTTCCAGGTCCTGTATCCTCTTAAAAATAATCCCCATTCAAAATAGAGAGGAAATGTCATTCATATGAGTTTCTTCTAAATTTAAGCTCTGATTATACAAGGAATTATATACAGTAGCTTTGGAAATCTGACAATTAAAAAAACACATACACAACACCAGATCCTTTTATTTATGACATTTTAAACCCCCATCACATTAAGGAAAGTTTTCAGCATTGTTGTACCTTGTGCTGCCAGCCTCGCTTTTAAGGTTTCACTGGGCAACTTCATATGAATTGACGGTCCTATAAATACGAACTTAAATTCAATCAAGCTGTTATTTGAAGGTTATGTGAAGATAGGCTGGGAGTATCTTGGTTCTCAGTGTAAGGGACTGGAGTGTAGGCAGTCTGTCCTACAGGTCACAGCTGGGCTGGGGTCCACACATCAAGGACTGTAGTTGGTGAGCAGGGGTCAGAGGGATTGCTAGAGCTGAGTTCAAAGAAGCAAGAGTCAGGGTTAGAGACCAGGCTAAAGTCAGGAGGCAAGAGTCAGAGTCAGGCTGGGATCAGAGACTGGAGATGAGGTGAAGTCTGGAGTCACAGCAGACCAGAAGTCTGTGTGGTTGTCCAGACAACTTCCTGGACTACCCTCCATGGTTAAATAGTGTTCTTGGCCAATCAGAGGGCCACAGGGTATTGTCACTCTGGATCCCTTGGGCGGTACTTCCTGCGGTGCCTACTCTTCACAGTACTCCCTGGCTGGGGATCTTCATGGCCTCCTAGTGGCATGGTGGGAATGTCAGCCATCCCAGGCTCTGCAGACCCGACTTCTAGTCCACAGATCCTTACACTTAGTCCTTCCTCCCCTCAGCTTTGCAAGGGAGGAAATAACAGTAAGTGTTCTTATAGAACTTTACATCTTCACAAGGCTGTAGAAACATCAGCTAGTTGAATTCTCACAACACTCTTGTGTGGAAGGGCAAGTGCTATCATCACCACTTTACAGATGGGGAAACAGAAACATGGAGGGGAAATGATCCATACCTGGCTCCAACTAACTCAATAGCAAAATTCCAGTTGTCTTCATTGGGAGCAGGATCATGCCCTAAATGACTTGCTCAAGGCCACACAGCAAGTCAAAAGTGGCCATAATAGGAGAATGAAGTGGGCTTGATTCCTGTCTACATTAATTCCATGTAAAAGGGCTTAGAGCCTTATTCACAAGGGGGTTTAAGCACCTAACTGCCCTTTAGTCACCTAAATCCAACATTTAGGCACCATTGGCATTCAAAAGCCCCCATTCAGCTGCCACCTAATCCTGTAGGTGCCTTAATTCCCTAGGCACCTAAGTTTCCCCTGATAATGTCCCCTAGGTACTTAACTTTCTGCTGATAGGCATGCACCGAGCTGCCTCAGTCCTGACACCACTCAGCAGCGTGGCCTCACACCTTCATTCACACCTAAACCCCAGCAGGTTCACAAGGTAGGGTCCCTCATCCATCTGACCTCCAGGGCCCGATCTAGTAGATGTGTCTCAGAGACAGCTTTACAGCATGTCTACCAGACCAGGCCCCACACAATACACAGCAGTGGAGTGGAGCTAGGTGCTGCCCTCCGGCCTGGAGCTAGGCACCTAACTCAGTCTGAGGGGCTAGGCCTTGGCATTTCCTTCTGGCTGGCTTAGGCAGTTCCTTACTCAGTGTGCTGAGCATCTGTGAATTCCTCTTTCAGGCACCCAACTTGCCCCATGCATTAGACAGGGAGCCTGGGCACCTAACTTGGAGCTGTGAATTCCACTTGGAGGGAGGGCACAATACAAAGCCCAAGCTAAGTCCCCCTTGTGAATCTGGCCCTGGTAAATGAGTCTCAGTGCCAGCCCCAGGAGTTCCTGTGGCCCACTTCTGTGCTTGCTTCATTAGATGACCACAGTGCCTCCCCACTGAAGTCTGTGATAAGTTTTGTAGGTCTCAGGTGTTTCAAGCCAGTCACCTAGGTATGCAAGGTAGAAAATTGGGCTGGAGAGCTTTAGGGACACTCTTCCCCCATGTTCTACGTTCTTAGTTTCAGCCTTTTCATAGACAAAACCTGGAAAAGCCTCAATGGTAACTATAAAATCTTTTAGCTAAACAATAGTGTGGTGTTGTTCAGTGATCACTCAGTGCTTGCAAGAACTCTGCTTAGTCTGTGTCTGGTTTTAATTGGCTGTACATAACAACTAGAGCTTCACAGTGCCCCACCCAGGCTCCGTGTCTGGAAAGCTCAGCCCTTAAAGGAACAGTCTCCAATATCACAGTGTGTGTAATGGGGGTTGGCCCCTGGGGCTCCTGAGATGCTATCCAACTCAGGAAAATTACCAAATACAATCAAATAAAAGAAATTTCAGGTATATATGTTTAAATGAGTAGAATAGCTCTTCCAGAGAAATAGGCCCTGTGGGGGAAGCTTCTCAGTGCCCCAGATTGTGTCACTCACATGCCAGTAGGGGGCTGCAAAGCAGCAGCAGGACTTCAGGGATGATGCCTGCACTTCACTGAATGGCTCAGCTGTCACAGCAGAGAACTGAGGGGTACTTTGAAATGTGCTCTTAGGTAGTTAGAGTATGTCTGTGAGAGATCAGGGCTCATTACCGTCAGGAGGAAAAAGTTTCTCGGCAGGACCAGTGAATGTTTGCCCCGTGGTTGCAAATAGTAAATCTTCACACCTGGTAGGTGATGTGCAGCATGCAAGCAGCTCGAGGACAGACTTTGGGAAATGTGCCCATTCCATCATACTGTAAAATCGAGAATAGCAATGGGAAGGAGGATGACATTGGGCTGAAGAAGAGAAGGAACGACTAGTCATGGCTTAACAGCTGGATGAAGGGTTATGATATGAACACAGGGTTCATATGATATGACCAAGGACCTCTTGTGCCAACTGGCAGAGGGACAGGGGCACATAAATGTTACAGGGAGCCCGTGTCTGCTGTTTACATTCTAGTTCACCAAAGTGTGTCATGTAAGATTTCCGTTGAAAACCTGTGTCACACAGGTCTTCATAATCTTTGCAAAATGTATTTGTGGATAGTATGTAAGGAAATGTGTGTGTGTACAAAAATACAAAATTATGTTCTGAAGGCTTTGTAGTTAAAGGCAGGTCACCCCCCAGAGGTAGCGTGGCTTAAGTCAGATTCTACCTGACAGGTGATGGGAGATACTTATCTCCCTTGCTGACCATTGTATATTGCATGTCTTACAATGGAAGTTGGTTTACCTACTGAGCTCAGTGGTTTGAGCATTGGCCTGCTAAACCCAGGGTTATGAGTTCAAACCTTGAGGGGGCCATTTAGGGATCTGGGACTTAAAACACTGCATCAGTCCGTTTGCACTGGTCCAGTTGTACTGTATCAGTCCAGTTGCAGCAATGCAACAGTCTTTAATGCAGCACTTTAATGAAGAGGCTGTATGCTGGCAGGGAAGAGCTCTTCCATTAGTGTAGTTAATCCACTGCCCCTAGAGGCGGTAGCTATGCTGGTGGGAGAAACCCTCCTGCCGACATAGTGCTGTCTACACGGGAGGTTAGGTCAGTTATAACTACGTCACTCCGGGAGTGGATTTTTTGCGCCCCCAAGTTACATAATTATACCAATATAGGTCAGTAGTGTAGAACAGACCTCAGTCAAATGCTAATGAAGAGATTGTGGGGACTTCAGAAGGAACATTAACAGGAAGAGGAAACAGCCAAGGGAGAAGGAGGGAGACCGATCCTGTTTTACAGGTAAAGAGCAAAGGACTGGTCTGGTATATGTAGAAGGTTGCCCTGGTACCTTTCATCAGGTGGAGGCAGGTTAACAGTGGGCTTTGGCTCATAAAAGGAAGGCCTTAGTCTTCCTGGTTGAAAAACACTGTAAGAAGGACTTTGGGGTAAGCAGTACATTAGTAGACAAGAAGGGCTCTTATTAATTGAGTTTAGGCTCTAGAATGCAATTTATTTTATATGAAACCTGTTGTTTCCAGTATTTCCAGTATGAAACCTGTTGATTCCATATGAATCTCTGTTCTCTGCTAAATAAACATATATTCTCTAGAAACAAATCTAGGTGCTGTGTGTTAGCGGAGCAGTGTTTGAAGGTACAATTAGGAAATAGCGATGTAGTGTTCCTTTGGGAACACTGGGCCTAGTAATTCTGTGAGTTTCCAGTGTATAAGGGTCTGGACATCATGGGGGGGATGTTTGCTTATGTCTAGCTTTCATGAGGGACAGCGGCGCCCATGTGGCCTGAGAGAAGGGTGCTTGTGTTGCCTGTGGCTGGGAGAGTCAGGGAACTGACCCCTGTCGGGTACAGAGAAGGTTTCCTCACGCTAAGGGCAGGTGTAGCCTCACAACTATGGATATCCCTGCGATGCATCACATGGATTGAATCATAGGCTGGATAGTTTGAAATGAAGAGAATCATACAGGCTCATTTGAAAGGAGGGAGCATTCATGAGTAAGGAGTTTCAGTTAAAGTTTGGAGAAGTTTCTGCACTTCTGGATGTATCTCCTGAATAAAATGAACTTCTGATCCTTTTTAAGGGTCACCTATCACTAGGTCTAATTGTGGATCTGGACCCAGGTTTTCAGAATGCAACCCTAGTGCACACAGTGCATTAACCAACTGTACCATCGAGGCTCTTCCCTGGCTTTTATTTAAGTGGCTAATCCAAAGTGCCCAGACTGGGGTGGGGGTGGGGGAGAGAGAGTTTATGTTTGTGAGTGAGTGTTTGGCTTATCTCTAATGGAAATATACAAGTGGTTGCATACAGGTGGTCCCTGATAAATATTGATTGTGGATTATACCATAAATGTGTGGTGAAGCTATGAGCTAATGAGAAACACTGAAGCAAACATGTTTAGGACAGAAACTTTAAAAGCAGGCCAAGAGAATTCTCATTCCAAAAACAAGTGACATGCATCTATTCTTTCTCCACTTGGCTAAGCAACAGCAGGAATGTTTCCTACTAAACAGCCTCATTAACATAAGCATAACTACAGGGTAAATTTTCAAGCTCATTCCAAGTGAATTCAAGGGGAAGGGGGGAAATATTCTTTTAATATGCGCAATTCATGCAGACAATGATATGAAGCTAATTCATTTCATCATATTATCACCATATCATATTAACTTAAAAGAAATAATAATGCAACATGGAAATGTTTGCATATTAGAGACAACTCTCATTGTACCCTATTAGCACCATATCGTATTAGTATTGCATTAGGCTATTATGCTCCAGTGCTAAAATGATGAAATCCCACTGTGAAAACTGATATTGAATTCTTGTAATGTTTCAGAACCATTTTTAGCACTGCATATAAATAATTCATGGGAGCAGATCTAATGAATTGATGTGGGGAAAAAATCCCCTGACATTGTGAGAGTATTTATGAATGTAAAGTCATGAACGGGATTTTTTTTTTAGTGGAGATGGGCTGGGACTGAAATATCTGGCTTATCACCATCCCCTGCTT